AGTAAATTCGGTAGCATAAGTTCGATCCACTTAGTGTATTACTTTTTTTTTTATAAAAATCTTCCGGTATACCTAACCATCGGTGTTAAATAATTATAACATAATTGACTATAAATGACATAATCGAATAATTTTTCATCCATAAAAATATCGAGGCATATCGCTGTTAGGTATAAAAAAGGAAAAAACGCAACATTTCACTTAAACCTTGTGGCAATAATAATCAATGTACCCAACGTGAATAAAACTAAATCATTCCGGTTCGTTTGATCGATCGGTTTGTTAGTCACCGCGATTTCAATATTCAACCAGTGGGGACTACGTTTACACCGAATAATAACGTCTGGTTTCAGGGTCACTACGATTTTAAAATACGAAAATTTAAAGTAGATAAAATTCTTGAATATTAAGATTGGAAGAATATTAAAAAAATTAAATGTCTTATGTCACATACAGTATGATGCAAATTAAATGAATAATTTACACTATTTGTATTTACAGATCTCCAAAACGTAAACAATATTCAGGAATTTTTAGAAAATTTGGATAACATTAATTAGGAGATTTTAATATTAAGATGCTTTGTATAGGTAGAACAAAATAATATTGCATGACATTTATAATAAATAACCCTCACTGACCTTCATATTAAACTGGTTGGCTATATATCATAAGCCCTAAGCCCTCCTCCTTCCTTATTCAGCAAACATAGCAAAGGGGACGGAATATTTCCAATTTTTTTAAAAACCAGTGTTTTGATACCCATTTATTAAAGCGGTAATATTGTCCATGGAATTGGTACTTTTTGCCTTACATCAAATGAGGTAGTTCTGTACATAGCACTCAAGCATGTAAGTAGTACAGAATTTTGAAAAACTTCTAACTTTTTCAGTAAAGAATTGTTGGCCGATCCTCACAAAATACACCCATAGATCGAATGTAGGATCTATAAAATAGTAAACCTATATTAACATCGGCACCTAACCAAACTTTCAAGATAGATTTTAGAAAATTTAAGCCCGTTTGACACCTGTTCAACGCATATTCAATGTGATGCTTCTACGTGAGCTTCTTATCGAAGAGCATTCCAATATATTTAACGTGTGTTTGCAAAGGAAATTCTTGTTGTTTTAAATTAATTGCTTTAGATTCTTTATCTGTTTTAAAATCTGCTGTAGCTCTGGACATTCGAAATTTTAATTCAAATCCATACATTTTCTTGATCAAAAAGGCATTGTTCCAACTAATTAATAAAAACGTAAAGATTTGCTTTATATGGGTAAAGGCTCATATTGGACTTAAACGCAATGAATATGTTGATATGCTAGCAAAATCTCCAGTTCACTATTCAAACAGAATTAATAATTGTGTGCTACAAACTAACGACAATGTTCGCGATTTTGGAGTTATTAAGGACAGTAAGCTTTCCTTTAACACTCACATTAGTTAAAAACCTCTAAGGCATTTAAAATGTTAAGCTTTATTCAGAGGAACAGTAGACAATTTCCTATTAATACATTTAAACTGCTGTACTCGACTTTGGTCAGGTCTAACTTAGAATACTGCTGCTCTGTTTGGTCCCCCAATTATGTTATTTACATTAATCACATTGAGAAAGTACAGCCAACATTTTTGCGGATTTATGCTTTCAAAATGGGCATAAACGGAATAGATATTAATTATGAAAATATTCTTCTCCAATTAAACATGCAAACATTGGAGCACAGAAGAATAGAATTAGACTTGTTTTTTATATAAAATTTTAAATGGTATTATATCCAATTCCGAACTATTGATCTTGATATTTTTCAGTGTATGTTATGTTATGTTGATAATGGGGTGTTAATACACTGCGACCTAAAAGATCTATTGTGCCCCCTTCTGTCGCCACTGCACTAAGGAAATGTCTCAATGCCTATAGCGACCCTTCCAATCCTATTTTCTCAAGGAAGTGTAGGATTTGAAGTGGCTTCAAGTTAGGTAAGTCTCCCTCTTCTATTTGATATCCTCCTAGATATAGTGCCCTTGGATTCTGGAGTGCTACACATTCAGTTAGGATGTGATTGGAGGTTTCGTCCTTCTCCTCACAGAATCTGCACTCACTATCCTCTACTACTCTCAGTTTACTTAGGTGTCCTTTTAGTCGGCAGTGTCCGGTAAGGATCCCTGTTACAATACGTAGCCTGTTCTTGCTCAGGCAGATGCAGGCTTCCGATCTTTTTTGGTTATATTCACCCAGAAGTATCTTGGCCTGTCTCAGCCCCAAGAGATTGTTCCAATTATCGGTTCTTCTACTACCCAATTCTTTTTTAATCTCTTCTAATATTATGTTACTGCTGATACCGCAGAACGGCTCAGGTCCTACAAAGGGTGTTTGAGCCCCTTTCCTTGCAAGACTATCTGCAATCTCGTTACCCTGTACCCCGTTATTTTTCAGTGTAAATAAAAGACGTACGCGGAATGTTGAACTATTTCGTATACCTTTTCATCACACTAACTACGGGCAAAATGAGACAATTTCCAGAATTTTACGATTAGCTAACAAACATCAGAATATTGATATTGTCCATAATTCTCTTCCTGCTTTTAAAAGAGCTATAAAAAGCTTACATGTTAATATGTAATTGTTGAATATTTTTATTTTGTTTATATTTTGTTATACATATATTTTTTATTTTCTATTTTATTTTCTTTTTATTTATATTTCTTTTTTACCTATTAGTTTATACCTCGCTGTAATGTCAGTCATTTTACATTTGGTATGGATTTTTATATACTAATATGTAAAATGGGTTTTGACCCGTAAATAAATAAATAAACACCATTCATAACATCTGTAGCCCAGATTTTGTTGCCTTGATAAAATCCAACAATATGAGAAAATGGAAGCATGATTGGTCACAATTCTGTTCCACTTATTCGAATCAGTACACTAAAATTCAAAGACATATTCCAAACTCACCCTGATTTAAAAATCATATACCTAATTCCAAGACACTACATTACATCTTTAATTAGAACCAGATTTGATCATGCCAGTTATCCCAAACACTTATTTAAAATTAATGTAAAAGAAGATGAAAATTGTGACTTTTGTGAAACAACTAGAGACCTTAATCACGTTTTCTTCGAATGCAAAAAATACGCAGTACATTCAAACATACTTTATATGATTCTTATAAAAAATAACATTCCATCCCCCTTAAATATTGAAACAGTTTAACACATTTTTCTGATGATATTATCAATTGCCTCTTACAATTTCTGAGAGACACCAAGATTCGTCTATGATTGGAATCTTAATCTTGTTTCCTCTGTATTTTACCTATTTGTTTACACGCTTACCGAGTCCTAATTTTGTTTGTCTATTAAAAAACGTTCTGATGGGTCCCTGGACGAGAAGCGAGTGTCCCCGTCATATATTGTTTTTCTTCTTCTTACACCTCTTGCTGTTAGGAAATTTTCTTGGGTAGTTCTAACAAAAAAAAAAACTTTTTTAAATTAAAAGTTGTAGTTGAATGTAATATAAGTGTTAAATTTAATTTTGTTGTTTTCTTTTAGTGCATTTGAATACGCACATGTGGGCGCCAGCCTGTCAAATACCACCTCGCTATTCGGCGTGATTTTTGTTGTACTTCCATTTTAATATGTAGTTCAGTGATAACACCATAGACGGATTTTAATTTATAGTGTAAACGGAATCGGTGACTGCAAACCGTGCGACGTTACAAAATCGAGGAAAGAGCAACACAATAATTTTCTTCTCGGTTGACTACATTGCGTGACGTCGAAATTATGAAATTGTGCGCCGCTGAGGATGGCCATGGACAACAGAAGAACAGGAGCACGAGCACACTAGAGGAATGCGCGCGCGTTTTACCACGCGGTTTTGCAACTTGGAGGGGTTCTGGTCCAGTGTTGCCAATGGTATCGACCTTATAGTAGAGATCATTTAAACAATAGGGAGGTTTTTATATAAATCGGATTTTCTGGATTTTTAATATATCGACCCTTAATCTTAGTCGTAGTTACGTCATTTAGGTTCTCGCGATTTCTCTAAACCATATTTCTACTTTTTTATGGCTTGTCATTAAATTTTACATTCAAGGCAAATAAAAGTAATAATTTAAAAAAGAGTTAAATACCTTTAATTTTCAATATAGAGCAAAATATTTATCAAAATGTTGATAGGAATTAAAAAATATGCTCAACTTTAAATCATTGCACTTATTTTTAAGTGATTTCAAATTATTTTATGTTTGCTAAATTATTGTGCTCTAGAAATTTTTTAATTTTACAAATTTTATACTTAATTACGTATATCCAAATTAATTAAAATATTAACTTGGACATAGACTTTCCCATTTGTATAATTTTTTGTGGCATACTGTATAACATTGGAAATAGCAAATTTTTTAATAAAAAAAAAAATAGTCAAAATAAATAGCGGAAAGAATTTCTAACTGTACGGATTATATTGTAATAAATTGAATGTAAATACACAAGAATGTACGTATTCTTTTTTTAATATTTTATTTTTCAAAAAGAAAGTTTGCTTTTTTTGGGAATTAATCCTAGTTCACGAAATTGTTAAAATATACGCAAGTCGATCAGGAATTTCGCATTTATACATACCCACATACGACCAGACGATTTTTTCAAATATACATGTACCTATTCCAATAATTTTGACAATTAAAACATATTAACGCCTTTTTGGACTTTTTGATGTATTTAATACACTTTTTGATGAATACTAGAAAGATAAAAAAGTATCTTAATGTATTGCATAAAATATATTTACCCCTAACATATGCATTTCAATATTCTGCATAGTATTATTCGTTATTATTTCGAGTCCCTATTGTGTGTTCATCGTGCTGTTTTAACTTACGTGTATCATCTGATAAACGGTACAACTTGGCAACATCGCTTTCACTTCGCACGTTCTTGGGGCGCCCTACCGAGCGTCTTACCACCTAACCTACCATTAGAAACCACTTAACAGCGGTAAATAATTCAACTACTATCATCGAGAGTTGCTGCATTCTCGCGATTTCGATCCCTTCGATTACGCGTTTGCACTTTTTCGCGTGTTTTACTTCGATCGCGCAAATATTTAACTGTAATATACCGGGATCTATAAATGTTTGAGTTTCGTATCGCTTGAGAAAATTTACTTGGCAATTTTTCGTGGGAAAATCGTACTGTGTTTATATACCTATTCTTTTGCTGGTGCGTGAAAATCAAAATTTTTATTTGTGTACCTTGCTGTGTGTTTCTAGATAAAAGTTGGATTTTGCATTTTGGAATACCCTGTTTGGAAAAAGCAAGTTGTATGATATGAGTTTAAAAAAAAATATACCTAGTTATATTTTTACAAGTCAAAAATTTGATTCTTAAATATTATACTTTTTTGCAATAATTTTTGAGTGTTAAATATTTTATTATTTCTTTAATTAATCATATTTATTAATAGACAAACAATCAAATAAATAATTAAAATAGGTGCTTAAAAAATAGTTTTTTAAAAAGCGCATATTCAACAAATTCTTCAAATAGTCCAATGTTTGTTGAATATCAAGATTGATCCCTTCTCCATTGGATGTAAAAATCATTAGACACTATAATAATATTAAAATAGTCTCTTTTTAAAATTTGTGTTGTATATTAAAACAATATTAAACATTTAGTTGTAAAATTAGTTGAAATATTAATTATTCCACCAAAATTTAAATTGATTTTTTTTTGTGAAAGTTTAACAACGCTCATTTATCTTTGATAAAATACTTCACAGAAATTCTTTTATATAATTTTATAAATTTCTTGTTAAGTATATAGGGTGTTTCATTTAGTAAGATTTTGAATCTATACATGAACCTTTTTGTAAACTAGAAGTAATTTACTTATTTTAAATTATGTGCTGTGTCATAGCAATTACATTTTTAAATAATCTATTTGATTATATTTGCTACATTCAGCATTATTACCATTTTTTTTATATGAAAGCGAATATTATTGTTGAATTAGCATAAAGCATTAAAATGACATTAAAAATTTTTTGTGTTAGCAAGGAATATTGGATTACGAGTGTATACCTATAATTTAAAAATGTCTAATATCCAAGTGTTTGTTTAAAAGAATATACTGATCAAAATAGGGGTTTCTCTTCAATGATGATAATATGAAATTTAAACCGCTCTGTATAAGAGAAGCACCTCTTTAATTCAGTCATATTAGTCAAAATAGTCAAGTATCTCGAAAATGTAGATAGTCAACTACAAACTTGTATAAACCTTTATTTTGACACCCTAAAACTTGTCTCAAAACCTACTTATCGTAGGGTGTTCACTACTACAGATATCTAATGTCAAAGGTCAAAAAATCGTTTCCTATGGGTTTTATGCTATTTATATTTGTCATAAATATTCTAGAGAATTAAATTCTCTACAACTTTTGTTTAAAAAATGTTTTCATATCTTGAACCGTTTTCGACACAGAGGGCAGAGAGCGCACAGTGTTGAATTATTTAGAGTATCATTCGAGATCAACCGGTAGCCCCGATTAAAAACACGCCGTATAAAATCTATAAATTATTGATAAATATATATGTAATTCTAAATAATTTGCATTTTTTATTAACTATTACGTTATATTTAATAATTTTTTTCATTAATTGAGTATATATTTATTTAATAACACTTACCTGTTCGTGTAATTAAAAACTGCCCGGTTCAAAAATTATTTGAGAATGGAGTGCAAACCTTGTTGGCAATCTATAATGCACCAAAATCTAAGGACCGTATCGTTCGTCTTCGCTATGCACAGTTCATCAAGTTAACAAAACTGAATAAACCTGTGCAGTTATCAGATCTTCCACCAACGAGTGCAGCAGCTCACCAACATGTCAACCGTGTTTATTATCAAGTTCAGACTTGGTTAGGGCATGATTTAGAACCCCAGGATTGGAGTTGGATAATGCGTGATGAATTCCTGTAACCTGTTACGACAATTTTACCACCAGCTCCAGAGTAATTGCTTTACACAATATTCTGCAACTGCAAGAAAGGTTGTGGTTTGCGATGTGGATGCAGGAAAGCAGGTTTGCAGTGCTCTTTAGCTTGCAGCCAGTGTAATGGGCAAGCTTGTCTCAATGCTTCACCATTTTAGAGTGATGTCAATGAAGACGATACCTTTGACCCCGAAATCCTGGAAAAACTGGAGACAAATGTCGTTGAAGACGAGAACGAAGAGGAATTTGAAATTTTATAACGACCGGAAGACGATGATGATAAAGAAGAAGAAAATTGAAATTATGACTTATGTTTTTATTCTTATTCATTTTTTTTTAATTTCAACGTTCATAAATGTATGCAATGGTATTTTTTAATAAAAACATTAGTTAAAAATTTAATTCTTTCCATTTTTTTAGTTAGGAAGTAATTAATATAAATCGGGTTAGAATTAAAAAAAAAAGTATTTCCCTTAATAACTTTTTAATTACATGAGTAGGTGTTATATTAAAATGAATACTCAATTAATGAAAAAAATTATTAAACAAAACTTAATAATTAATAAAAAATGCAAATTATTTAGAACTATGAATTTATCAATAATTTATAGCTACCATTTGATCTCGTATGATACTCTGCCCTTTATCTCAAAAACGGTTCAAGATATGAAAAAATGTTTTAAACAAAAGTTGTAATGAATTTAATCCTCTACAATATTTATAATAGATATAAATAGCATAAAACCCATAGGAAACGAGATATTTGCAAAAATAATGCAAAACAACGATTTCTTTGACCTTTGACCTTATATATTTGTAGTAGCGAAGACCCTATGGTAAGTAGGTTTTGAGACAAGTTTTAGGGTGTCAAAATAAAGGTTTATTGAAGTTTATAGCTGACTATCTACATTTTCGAAGTGAAACCCCTAAATATGACTGGACTACTTGGCGACATTGTCAACTACATTAAATCTGTAGGCTGGCTGACGAGCTAGAAGGGACCTATCAACTTAGGAGGATGCACAATGAGCCTAGTGAGGCTTAAGTGCCGTGGAGTAACCCAATCTTCACACGTTACAGATAATCTTAGCAAAGAATATACAAGGTGATAGTTTAAAAATTTACAATGGCCATATATCGTGAACAAAAGACTAGTCAAGTAATTAGTGAACCGTACAATGAGTACTAAGTTCCAGCTAATTAGTTATCAAATAATAAACAAGCCGTGAATAACCATGACTAGCGAAATCGTGGTGCAATGAGTACTAAGTCTTAGCTAATTAGCTATCAAATAATAAACAAGCCGTGCATAGCCGTGACTAGCGAAATCGTACAATGAGTATCATGCGAAGTAACTCGCGCATACTACTCTGTTTCCTAGTACCGACACCGACTAGCGAAATCGTGCAATGAGAACTAAGGGAAGTTGCGCGAAGTACTCAGTCCAACTATAGCCCGTCAGATACTGACAGGTTTCGGTGCCCCATTTTCGCATACAAGCCTCTAACAGGGTTAAAAAGTACATCGATTTTAAGAAGAATGAAAGGAAATTAACGAGTGGCTCCTGGGGATAACACATGGAAAATTCGATTTTCCCTAACAATAATGAAAGGTTATTTGTTGCCCATATTTCCACGCAAACCGTTTTTACTATATGATTAATTAATAGAACTAGGCTTCGGAAAACCAAAGGCTTTAATTTTGCAAATGGCTAAAGGGTTGAAATAAGGGCGTAGTCTTTACGGAAAAATCCCGATTTTACCCGATTTTTCCACACAAGCCCATCGAATGTATGAAAACGTACATCGACACTAGTCCGAAAAACATATTTTCTTGAATAACCCGAATGTGTAAGTGCATTTTAGGGTCAGAAATTTTTTTTTAATAAGAAAAATCGATTTTTCCATGTAAATTCCACTCGTAAATTTTCTTTTATCTGCTCAACATCGATGTACTTTTCAACCCTCCTCGAGGCTTGTATGCAAAAATGGGGCACCTAAATCGGTAACTATCTGACGGTCTATAACTACACTCTCCGGCAAAAATTTCTACCACCCTAAAATTTTTACCAAGTTTAATGTTTTAAAACTTTTTTATTTTGTATCCTATTTTTATAAATTTTTTAACAAGTTTGTACATACATTTATTATGATTTTTTTTAAACTATTGTAATAAGTAACATTTTTTTTTTGGGCAATATACAGCGGTAAATCAAAATGTTTTTTGTCGCAACTTCAAAACACCTTGTAGAGATAATTTTGTTTACACATACTGTTTGCTGTAATCTCAGATGAATTCCAAACATTTTGTTTTTTGATTCATCCCATTACCTCATGTCTTCTGTGAGCTGCATTTTTTTTAATTTTCAAATTCTTCGCATCAACCCTGTAGGGTCATTAGCAAGAGGCAATTAATTTATTAAAATAAAGAAATTACACATGGTTTACAATATTAATGGTGAATACCAAAAGTTCGAGATTCTCAATGCCAATCAATTTTATTTTTGTAAGAGACTGTACAAAACATGTATATAAACACATATGGACATGTTATAATTTTAATCAAATTCGGCCGGCAATCTCGCAAATATTTAAAACGATATGGTATAGAAATTTGTGACTTCCTCATACTAAATTTAAGGGTTTGTTTTGGTTCAAACAGAACCGCTGATTCCAGTTCTCAAACACAGTGGGCGAATTAATTTTTCCAGAACACGTCGCGAGTTTATAACAACCTCTTAAGGTACCATTTCGGTAGGCGCGACAGACGACCGCCGACGCGACATACAACCGCCGACGCGACCGAGAAGTGTCGCTTCACATCTAAAATACATACAATTATATGAAACACATTTCGCACGGCGCGACACGAGAAGTGTCGTCAAGACGACACTTCTGAATCTGACTCGGGGCAAAGGTTTGCTGCCTGTCGCACTCGAGGTCACTGTCCTCGAGCATCGCTTCATTTTGGAGGTAAATAGGTTGAAAATTTCTTTCGATCTAGGCAGTGTTGCCAGATTTTGGAACAGTATGGGTGAAAAAAAAACCGTAGATCCGAACAGTAGATTTTAATACAGGGGAAATAATTAAAATTTGCAGTGTAGTAAATAAAAAAACAAGTATATAAGAAACGAAAAATAAACTTTTTTTCGACCCAAATTAGAAGGTTAACAAAGAATAAAAACAAATAATAACATTTTTAATATATACTTACCGTACGGAAACAAAAAAAACAATGAAAAATAATAGGTACCTACTTCTTTTAGATCAGTCTGAATCAGATAATTCAAAATCGTAGTGTGCATGTTCTTTTTATGATGCCCTATTAATTCTTTGTTTCATTTTAAATAAAAACAATGATTATCTTGATGTTTTTTTTTTTTATGGAGCCAACCTAGAGTAGTGGATGCTTATTACACTGCTTTTACTGCAGAAAATTTACTAGAGAAAATATTCTTTAACCATTTGCTGAAGAATGAGGCAAACTTAATAAATTAAGAACAAAATTTGCTAGAGACAAAAACAGTGGATCTACGTAAAAACAGTAGGTCTGGCAACGCAGATCGTTCCCTCGAATGGTTATCCTGTAAGTGTCGCGCGACACTTCTTAAGCTTCCGAAATGTAGGAAGCGTAACATTTATGCATCTGTCGTCCTACTTGACCTTGGGGTCGTCTCAGTGGTCTCTTGTCTCCTGACGCGCCTACCGAAATGGTACCTTTAGCTGATCGAGTGTTACTTTGATACGTAAAGTGGCTACCATGTTGCCAAGTTGTAATAATTTTACGAAACTACTCGTCAACTGCTTTAAAAATATATATCTTTTTACTAAGACGGTCAATAAATTTAGCGATTATTTATAAAATTTTATAATTTCTTGATTTATTTAACATTAGTTTTTAAAAAATATGGTAAGAACCGTTTTCGAGATATCTTGAAATACATGCATTGCTTGTGTACATGATAGGCTTCAAGAGTGTTAATTATGCACATTTTCATTGTTAATATCTCGTTTCACAGACGGTCAAAAAATCTAATTTTTTTAGTTACGTAAACGAAACTTTCATAAACCTTATATTTAAATTTTATTGAATTCTTAAGAAAAGCCGTTTTACGAGTGAACTTCCTTAATTCGTTCTTGGCTATATTTTGGGCAAATTATTAAGAAATTTTCTACACAAAGTTCACATTTTGGTTCTGGTTGTTTATTCAGTAAATAAGCGTGTGTTAATTTAGTATGACCTATTCTTAACCGAGTCATTATCACTTGTGTTTTTCGGTCTTTGGGTAATTCCTGCCACGAATTCACTTGAAGTTTGACTGATTTTAGCTTAGATGTAGAGGTGTTTCAACGATTTTGCCACGCACTTTGCACTTTTCATTTTATTAAACTTTTTGCATCACTCGTTAAAAGATCAAAAATTTGGAGAGAGTCTACCGCATTTATTGCTCCGCGCGCATTTTTATCTGCTTCTTAATTTCCAGCAATTCCGATATGTGAAGGAATCCATATGAAAATAACTTTTTTATTTTTTATTTCCAGTTCTAGTAAATTTTTTTGGATTTTTATAGCAATCTGGTTGGTTGGAAATATTCTTTTTAAAGTTTGTAATGAGCTGAGGGAATCCGTTAATATTGCAACTTTTTGTAAGTTTTTAAAGTAAGGTAATTTTAATTAATATAGATGTGATATTTGAAAGAACATCCTATTATCAAATTTCGGTGGAAGTTTAAATTGATTTTGTCCTATTTCTTGCCTAATAATTAACTGACTCTATTTGAACGACGCTACTGATCATTCGGTAATATTCGGAATTTTCGCTGCTAGAAATTGGCTGCTATCTTCACATCGGTGATTATGTTACCTATTTTAAAATCTACATCCAGAGGGATATCTCTCGGCCTTTTTAAGTAGCTAAAACCGTCATCGTTTTGTGTATTTATTTTCAAATAATTATTTATCTTAACAACAATACTAAACTTATTATTACAATATTAAAAAAATTAGAGACAACATTTGTGGAAAGAGAAAACGCTTGCTTTTTCTAAATATATTTTGATCAATTCGTAACTAGAATCATTCTGTACAGTATAGAGCAAATGAAAGTAATACATTCATTAATGTTTATTTGCGCCATACTGTATATCACCTTAATTTTTCACAAGCCTTAATCGCTTCATTTATTTCAGCCCATTAAAATGAAAATGACACGATTACATGCCGACGCTACAGAAATTAATTACTTAACAAAAAACGTACCATACACAGTCAATATTCTATAAACATCGACAATTCCTATAAATAAATAACCAGCTATAAACAACTGAACAATAATCCGAATGTATTCAATGTCACTCGAGTCATAATAAATTATTTATTTTCGAAAAAATGGTCGATTTAAAAAACGAGCCGAGTTCGGCTACCAAAAAAACGCGCGGAATTTCCATGACGATGGTGAAAAATTGGTTGAGTATGTCGGAAAAGCGCAGCGTTCCGCAGGAGCCGCAACCCTTTCAAAAGATGCCCGAAAGCTTTTTGAGATCGCTCAGAAGGAGATCGTTGAGGATTAAACGGAGTAAATCATTTATTTTGAATGAAAAACGAAAATCTGGTAAGTACGATTAGGATAAACGTAATTAGTTTTGTTACTTATCTTTTTTTACTTCCAAAGTACTTCAAACAGAAAAAAATTCAACGTTGCAAACCACGTCTTCCCAGCCGAGATATTTAACAAAAACCCTTATTTTTTTGTTGAAATTCCCCCAAATTCGATTTTTAATCCAATTCTCTGCCCTAACGAACAATTATTAATCTGTGATTTGTTTTCTCACGAATCTTATACGGATGCTATTATGTCTCATATCGCATCCGTATTTGGCCCTTTAAACTCGACTGCTTAAAAATATTTGAAATCATTACCCCTTAAACGTGCCTATGTAAAAATAATAATTGGACCCTTTATTGTTTGATTCCAATATCAAATTCTGGAATTTGTTAAAACTCTTGTAAAAATCGTTACTTCACTATCATGTAAGTTACGTAAGTCACTTATCGTTTTTACTTACAATGAATAGACACTCAAATTACGAGTATATCCTTTAAAAGTTTAAAATACACTTTAAATAATTTATTTGACATTTAAGAATGGCAGCAGTGTGGAAAAAAATGTATGTGGTTTCAGAGTTGACGTATATGGCAATCTATTGAAATCGTTACATCCAGCCAGTGCACAAAATAAGAATGGCATTTAATTTTCAATACACTTTTTTTATTTGCTAATATAATAAGTAATATTTTGAATTTAAATTTAAAAATTATAGAACACTAACAATATATAAATATACATATTTTACCCAAACGAGTAAAATCTTTTATTCCATTGTGAGATTTGTTGAAAATATCTGACTTAAAAGTAAAGGTTCAAAATTCGAAATATTTGAGGAATTATTTTTGATCTATATTTGCTATTGTTATCGTCAATCCTGTAGGATTGCAAAAGCAGCTGCTGAACTTAACGAACTTGCAAACGGTATAATTTATATACCTGTATATGCCTACCATAGCCTTAGGCGTAATCAGTGGCGTAACCAAAAACATGTCATAAGAGTGGTTCGAAAAACAAAGTTAAATAATAATAATAATGTTTATTTTTTAAAAAGAAACAATATGCAACAAAAATTACAATACAATTGAAAAATAAACAAATAATCACTAGTAATTAATTATTACCGGAAATTTTTCCGAATACACGATTTTTTTGAAAATTAAACGAAGCGTTCAAGATCGTGGGAGATTGAGTAAGAAAATTTCACACATTTTGATAATGAAATATCATACCTATTGGTAAAGTCGTTCATGTTTGATCTGATGTCGCGCCATACAAATAAAATGAATTCTTTGAATTTTAGTTATGCATGAAATAATCACAGATAGATTAACAATACAAAAATTTTAATAGGACTATTTTTCATGTTGCATACCAATGCAACACCCGGTATAGAGAGGTACTTATTGAATTTATATAAACTTGAACTTCCTACTAACTTTCAACTATCTACAACTCAGATGCAATAGAACTTCTTTTAACATTAAATAACAGGGATAAAGTTGTCATCACTTCTATATCGTTCACCTTCAATTGATTTGAATGAATTTAGAGATCATTTACAAAATTATTTTCAAAGCCTATATAAATGTTGCAAAAGAACTAGCCGAAAATATTAAACGTCCGAACGAGAAATTGAAACTATTATTAACGAGTTAAAATCTAATAAAAATCTTGGTATTGACAATATTAAAAGGCCGAAATACTAAATTTGTTGTAACACCACTAAATCATTTGATAAACTTGACTTTTGATACTGACATGGCCTATTGTATTTAAACAGGCAATTGTGGTCCCCATATATAAAAAAAGGAGATGACAAAGTTGTCAAATTCAGTGGCGGCTCGTGGTAATTTAAAATAATAATTTTCCAATAATTTTATCATTTGTAAGTTCGGATCAAAACTTTGTACAAGAGTCAATATCGCTATTTTTTTTATTATTTCAGTTTGTATTAAGTGTAGTTATTATCAACATCATACTGTTTTCAAGCACTACAACTATTAATAAATGAATATTTTAGTTAGTGCAATATTTGTTTTGTTTTTAACACGTTGAAAGCCATCTATAAACATTATTAGTTAGTAAACTGACTTTTCTTCATAATTTGAGATTATTTTTAAATATATATCAGGTTATGTAGAAAGCTTGACATTGATTTTTGTGTAATAAATTTTATATGGAACTTTACCTACCATTTTTTAGTTTTTATTGTAAGTTTAATTATTTTCACAATTTGTCACAGATGTCAAATAAAAAATATATTTTTTAAATACCTTTTATTGGCAAATAAAATAACTAAAATGTTTTAAATGTTTATTTTATAAGATCAGTCTCATCACAATACAGAATATTACACAGACACAAACTAGAATAAAGATATATAATGCCTGGCATTCTAAATGATACTCTTCGCAGTTTAACAGAGCCCCTTAACCCCCATTTTCAACCAGATTGTTTTCACAATCAATAGGCCTCATCTCCTTATAGAGCTTGATTTTTACTAAAAATTTCATGTTGATATCGCTTTTCATTTTTGTTTTTTTTTTTTAATTTCAACCCCCCTTAAATCCCCCATATTTAATCAGATTTTTTTTATAATTAAAGGGCTTCTTCTTTTAGAGATTGATAGAAATTTCAAGTTTATATCATTTTTCGTTTTTCAGTTAGGATTTTTTTTATATTTTAACCCCCCTTAACTTCCCAACATATTCATATTTTTTTCAGTATCAATAGACTTTGTCTTCTTATAAAGCTTCATTTTTACTAAAAATTTCATGTTGATATCGCTTTTCGTTTTTAATTTAGGATATTTTTTTTAATTTCAACCCATCTTAACCCTCTATTTTTAATCAGATTTGTTAAAAATCAATAGACTTTGTCCCCTTATAGAGCTTGATTTTTGCTTAAAATTTTCAAGTTGATATCATTTCTCGTTTTTGACTTATCGTGCAGACAAAAAACGTGACATCGGACAGACAGACAAAGTAAACCTATAATACTCTTCACAGAATACTGTATGAAGAGTAGAAAAAAAAAGTAGGTATGAGGTAAAATAAACAATTTAAAAAGGTCAACAATATTATTTAACTTCTTTTATCAAAGGATACTAAAAGTTTGAAATAGCAGCACATAATTGAACATAGAACAAAGAAATCTGTGAACTAAACTAGTGAGATACATATCGTAAAATGTTATCACACTTAATTCTCCATATAACCCTTTCTAAGTGTATTTCACAGCACATTCCAAAGTATTCTTGCTCTCGCTCTGTCCTACACTCTCATGGTAGACTTTTGCATGCCCATGTTCACTTAAATATAATGTGTTTTAATAAATAACAGAATAATAGTATTTTGTCTAAATAGGTAAATCGGATTCATCTGTATTTTCAAATTATTGTTTAGTTGTAGATAGTATATTAATGTTTTGATATGTACTTATAGGATTGATTAGCCAGAGCATGTAGATATGTGGGATGAGACTTGTTAAGTGCCCAATCAAAATCACAATTTATGTTTGATACTTGCTTTTTTCGAGACTACTTTATTACCAACTGTAAACTAATTTACCAACAGCCTCATTTTTATTACTTGTGATCCAAATTACCATAACATCTAATATTTTTGAAAATACTAAATTATACAAAAATATCAATAAAAAAATGTCATTAAAATAAAAGATTGCTGGTTTGTAAGCAACAAACGATCTAGATTAGAGGGTAACACGATTGATAATTACAGGCAAACATAACTTTATATAGGTAAACTATTTAAATGTACATACCATTTCTTAGTTAAAATTTCTCATCGAGTATATTAAATTAACTGGTTGATCCATTTTTCCGATTCAGACTTTTAAAGTGAAAAACAATTTGTCTCTTTGTCTTTAGCAAATTTTTATTGTACATTTCCATAATGATGTCAAGTAGTTACCTCATCAGAATAATAAAATTTTTCATTTTAGCGGGTTTTCTGGGAAAATAAATTTACAAATTTTTTGCTTACTTCTTACTTCATAGTATTTACAATTGGGTACAAAATAGACCATTTGAAGTAGTCTTTGGATGGTCTTAGACACTGAAACAAAATATAAAACAAATTACAGTCGTAAAACTTTATTATAGGTAAACAAAACAACATAACCTTAAAGTTTTTATTTACCTTGCCTTAAAGAAGTTTTTCGGTAACAATCGTTAAATTGACACACATCCTTCCAATTTATTAAAGTTGCAGTTCTCAATTAAACACATTTTTTTAAATGATCACAAATAATAAAATAATCTTAATTTTATTAAAACCGTTTCATAATGACGGAAGACGAAATAATAGTGTGTTTGATTTGGTACAGAATATGTTTTTGTTATGTACCAGATTTGTCTAAAAAATGTACCAGATTCCTTAAATATCAGATTTTTTTTCGAATTCTATTTGCAATTACATCTAATTCATTGAAGGGGAAAAAAGGGGGTCTTTATTGATAACGAACCCAAACAAGGAACACAATATATATGTATTTTACACGTGAACACTGATGCACGCAGAATGTACTACATCTAGTACAATTGTGAATTGTACTAGACTGTCAACACTGGTTTGGCAACCTTTTCTGTGAGCGGTGCGCCAATTAATGTGTTCTTTGACAGTTTGAAGAATCTATTGGAGTGCTGTCTTCTCTTTTTAGCTATATGCATTCACCATATCGTCTCACTCGTGTTAGGCTCACTCATCATAATGTGCTACAGATACAGTATACTTAGGTATACTGTGCCACAGAGACGCGATCAGCCAGAGGACAATGATGTACCAAAAAATATTAAAATTAAATTTATATTTTTATGTTATTTATGTAATTTTAAAATAATGTGTTTTTATGAAATTTAACTGGGTGTTCACTGCACAAATGAACCAGTGGAGAAACCACCCCTGGTCAAATTATAGACCAATTTAATTTAAAAACAGATTAGTAAATTTTACATCAAAATATGGTATAACATGTCTCTACGG